TACATACAAAATTATACAGTCACTAAAAATCATGAAATAATTTATTTTTGTAAAAAAATACAACCGACTTCAAACGCTCTAAAAAGAATGAAATAATTTCAATAAAGTAAACTTTTGTATTAGGCAAGCTCACGTATTTCAAGTCGGCGCTCAAACTGCAAATTGAAATTAAATATTGTGTGTGTATTTTTAAAATCAAATTGTAGCTGGAGAACATAAATATATAAAAAACACATTGAACTGTTTTGTTATATTAAAGGAAATATTTTCTTGTATTTTATGTTTACTTCAGAATAAATGCATTATGAAAATAACACACACAAATGTTCTATATGAATAGGAAAATAATTTAGTTTGATATTATGATAGGGAAAAGAAGCTAGTTTAGTATTAAAACGTTACTTTTACTTTTCCAAGTTAGAAACATTTAAATGCGTTATAATCTTTTTAAAGATACTCATTAATACCACTATAATGCCGGTCTCTGATTACGGTAATAAAATAACACTTAACGCATGACTATGAAAAATACATGCAGATTAACACCTTTAGTTATAGTTACATGCAATATGGACACCCTCTTTCAATTTTGTATCAAAAATCATCATAGAGCCGCGCCGACTTAAAATACGTGAGCTTGCCTAATACAAAAGTTTACTTTATTGAAATTATTTCATTCTTTTTAGAGCGTTTGAAGTCGGTTGTATTTTTTTACAAAAATAAATTATAACCAAATTCAGTATCAACATTTCCATACCAATTACAATTTTATTTGAAAAATGTTTCTTCTTTTATTATTATTTTGGATTAATTAAATACTTTAATAAATTTAATACTATCCTTGGTTATCGGGCTGTTATGTTAATATATTGCTTTGGTTATGGAAACCGTATTTTAAGTATGATATCACTGTATATGTTAGTCAGTAACAACGTGGCATACACAACACTTCTTACTGCATTCTACTATAGACAAAAAAATAAAAATATAGACTGTCAGCCGTGCTGCTGTTACCATGGTAGGTTCCAGCGCACACCGCTGGGAGCGTCGTGTAGTTGCGAAGCGTTTACGCCGTAACTTCATGGCGCTCCCAGCGGTGTGCGCCTGAACCTATGGTAACCACAACACGGCTGACGGTCTATATTTAATTATTTTTGTCTATGATTCTACACACATCCGTCCCTCAAATTTCTGTTAAAATACGTACGCCTTAAATGGTAACAAAAATATAGCTTGAGAACATTTTATACAAAATAGGGTGTGTTGTCCTAGGACGCTAGGCACGAGCCAGGGATTGTTTTTCACAATACTTCAGGCTAGACCTATGGGTTCCGGCATTATCATTTAGAAAATCCATTGGTGATTTGGTGGGATTTGAACCTGGAACCTCAGGGACCGAAGTCCCGTGCTCTAACCACTACACCAGCTCGCTCCCCGTTTGTTCTTATACAAAATAGGTTAGGTAGTATGCGATGGAGATTTAGTACTAATGATGGTCAGTAATAGAACAAACGCTGGAGGGTTATGGTGGAGTTTGAGTAATCGGATTGTCAAAGCATTCATGTGTTATTGAATATGATCACCAAGCTTCTTCCCACATCACAATTAGTATCTACGAATCGCTTAAACAGATTTGATATATTCAATCAATCATACTTATCGAGTATCAAAAACTAATTTAACAGTACATCAATAATTTAACTAGTTATACTAGTTAAGAAATCTGGAATGTATATTTAAGTATCCCAGGTACAGGTTTAATTCATTGTTACAACTAGGTAGGAATAATTTTACCTTCGCTGGGAACTTTTCCCTCGCTCTGCATCACTGCTCATTATCACTTAGGTGTTGCGAAATGTCACTCTACAATTACAAGTACTCTGTACCAACTACGCACCACTCTTTTGAGTTTGTGTATAAACTAAAGAAGACTCATACATTTTGGCTGTCAAAAACTACTATGTTTTAAAATTGTTGCAAATGCGGTACAAAGTGTGATGTAAACGAGCTAGCCTGTTTTCAAATTCTAAACGGGTTTGTAAAAAAATTAGGGTAAATAAATTTGAAATGTTTAGTTTTTTAGCGTTTACAAAATACTATTCAGCAGATTATACACAAGTTAAACATTGTTTGTTATGTATGAATTTAAATGTCATCGATAAGTAAATGTTCTTATTTCTACAATGCTTTCTCCAAAACATGTTTTGTTTTTTTCTTTTCATGAATGGACTACTATTATTTTAATAACTCAAGCTTATATTCTTATAAGTTTGAAAAGGTTGGTATTTCATAATTTCCAAGTGAACGAAAATGTAATGTAGGCCTATTTATAAACAACTGGGATACAAAATTTTTACTTGTCATAAAATTCGGTGGAACCCTTCGATTTAGTTATACCCTGAATGGCGTACTCTGAATATCCCGTAGGCATTGTTCTCTCCTTATGAAAGTAATACAGTAATTGTCATAGGTAATTAATTTTAAGCTCTTACCAAGTTTCTTTTTTATAAATTACGTCTCAGTTCAGTTGCTTGGCATATTTTAGTTTGTTTGCCATAAAAAAAAAATATCTTAAGCAAAGATGAAAGAAAGTCTGTGTTTAAAGTTTACAGTATTGAAATGATCAAGTAATTTATACTGCAGCAAGGTCAGCTACCAATGTGCGATTGCGAGCTATCTAAACATTATCTGGTACAAAGTTGCTTGGTGCACTGATTGAAATGTTACAAGTAGTACTTTTCAATGTTATCGTACTGTGGTGAGGTCAACTTATTAATTAATCAAACTATGTGTGTATTTGTCATAGTAATTCTTGTAGTACAAAATCTTATCTTCATTTTATTCGTTACCATTTACGTTGGATACTAAATAGACTTATAATCCAATTTTGGAATTTTGAAAACTTTACGTTTTGTGTTTCGTGTCCAGTTGAGTGCATTGATCACAAACACATGATTTTTTTGGTTTTATGACGTTTCGAAACGTTCTTTCAGTTTCTTTAAAAAATTATTGAAAAAAACGTTGGTCCCACTATAGACGATTTAATTTTTGCATATTTCATATATTTCTTATTGTTATGTATTGATTTTGGAACAATGGTAAGATGTTTAAAAAATAAAACACACAGCAAATACTGCTGGTTCTCTTTTTAATGCATATTTTTAAAATCTCGCTGTGTAAAAATGTAAATTTATGTAAAAAAGTAAAACGTGTCTGTAACATCATTATTCACACCGATGGGAAGGGTCCATAATGGATTGTCCTTCGTCCGTTATTTTAAATTTTAATCTGCCAGGTTTGAGACAGAATACAATTAATCTTGTTCTCTGTAATGATTTAAAGCTTGGCTTGGCATGAACGTTTATGGGAACGTTGTTATTGTTAGTTAATTACCCCTAAGGAATGAAACTATTTGGTGATACGACGTAAAACAAATGAAATAATCTAATAAACTTACTAAAAAACTTGTATGTAGAAATTGATTGACTGATTATTTTCTGTTTCACCAAATTGTATTTTGGAAAGTACAATTTTTTTTTGCAAATATTACCGTTTGGTTCTACTGACATTGCGTTTTTTGAGATTTATTCTGTATAATTTTTCAGAAACTGTTTTTTTTATAATTACGTTTCCTATTTTTGATTTTTATTTTGATTTTCCCAATAAATGTTATCTTGCCTCTGAAGTCAGTGATCGTAGTATATAAATTAAAAAGATGTTCATACACCACGTAGACTTTATTTTGCCATTTTCTTACATTCACAGTTCATCTCAAATACATTGTTTGAATTACCACACAAACACTAATTAAATCTTTCAGTTGAACGAGTTTTAAACTAGATTAAAAAAACATACATTCTATACCATGAAATATAATGAATCCCACATTACAATCTTTTCAAAAACTTGCTTATATTCATTTGAAATTTTAAAACCACATTTAACATTTTGAAACAATTACGATTAACAAAACATTAAAAAAGTTTATATAAATTTCATAAAATAATGTGTAAACCCCCTTTTCACTAAAATATACAGCATATTTTCCACGTTTGATTATTCACCCCAACGACAGTTTATTTCACTTATAACGACGTTGTCGTGTGGAATAATGCTGCTTGCTCACCCGAGGATTGCAAATGCATAATGTATGTTGAGGTTGGATAGATAAGGTATAACAGTTTTGTGGGTTTTTAATGGTAAATTGAATAGAGATTACTCATCTCAAAGTTTAAAGGAAAAAGAACACGGATGCGTCACGGTGTTTAATTGAAGGTAAATATATATTTTATTCAGTGTGGATTTTTGCCGGTCGATAGATTTAGGCTTATTCAAGCTTTCAAAACCTTCAGTAGTACATTTACTCAGATTTGTCATAACAAAATGCAAGATCCCTCTTTCACAAATTTCAAAAAAAAATCCAAGTAACATTAATCCTGCTTTCAAAAATAAAAAGATGATAAACGGGATTTGAACCAGAGCTCTCAGGGACCGAAGTCCCGCACTGCACCACTACACTAGCTCGCTCCCCAAATAGAGTATATTTGACTTAAAATCACGGTAAAATTAAACCAATCTATTTTAAAATTAATTATTTAGTATAAGATTGGTGTTTAACGTACATTAACTTAAAATATTACCTTACCCTTGCACATATTAAAGATTGCTACTTTGTGTTATGGATGCAATGGAAACAGAAGTAATGTTTGTGGAAGAGTGATAAACACGAAACGCACGTTTGACACGTCTGTGCGTGTAGGAGGGTTTCGCTACTTGAAAATGTCATCCATCTTCTTCCATTTAGCGCCCCCTTGTTTTGGAAAGGATTGCACACAGGAGATACTAGCACAATTAAAAATTTTAAATGATTTTTATTTGTTAAATTTTAATTTGATACCGAGACACGTAAAGATAACGTTTCTTCTTCAAAAAATGATAATTGAGAAAAAATACCACTTATTGGATATAAATGTAGTAATGAAAATATTACTTTCACTCACCATAAATCGCAGAGAGACATATCCACAACTTCAGAACGGAGAAAACTTTGCGAAACATTTCACGGGGAACTCGGTGTACAGGAGCACATCCTTCACCTGTGAACAAAAGTTTCTAAGTTGATCATATAATAAAAAAAACGTATAATATAACAACTACAAGTGAACTTAAAAATGTCAACACCTAAAACATTAATAACTTTGCAAACTGTATCATTGTAGAAACTTATTATTATTGTAGAACAAAATTCAAACGACACATCATAAATCATAATCACACTTGAATTTAAAATCACCAGTTTGGTTAGTTTACATATTCTTGTAAATAATTATAGAATCCTTTGTACGCCAAGTTATTTTATTGGAAAGAACTGTTACAGTTCATTAAAACTATATTTTTTCTTTTTAAATATTTCGTTAAAACGAATCTGTTTTTTTTTTTTTTTCACGTTAATAGATTAATCATACGATTATGTGTTAAAAACCCCAGACGTATTGACGCGATTTAGCTCAAATTCTAACGTAAAACCTTTTTACTCAATAAAAATAAAAGCTCAACATATATTCTGATGGTTCTTTATTTAATTATTTTTTATTTTACTGAAAGATTAGTCGTGTCCAGTTTAAAACTGCGCAGATTGAAATTTAAAATAACGGACGAAGGACAATCCATTACCGACCCTTCCCATCTGTGTGAATGATGATGCTACAAGCGCGTTTTTACGTTTTTACATAAATTTACATTTTCATTTAGCAAGATTTTAAATCGATTTGAAAACTTATTAAACTAGGTAAGGAGTGCTTAAAGTTATTTATTATTTATAATAATACTGAGCACAGGTTTGAATAATATCACAAGCATATACACCTAAGGATGTTACGGAGTTCAAAAGTCTAAAAATACTTTATACCAAACCTAAAAACAACAAGTCAAGAAATTTGTTTCTTCTCAACTCTTTTTTTAATGCCCTTCTTTTATATTCTTTGACACCATTTTTTTGCCCAGAACAGTTTTGCACGTTACTTCAGGCTGGGTCAAGACATAATGTAATATTGTAACACGCTTGTCTGGGTAGCCGAATGGTTGTAGAATTCGTCTCTAAATCTGAAGATCGTTGGAACGATACCATGCGAGATCGTTTCCAGCCTCGCGTGCTATTTATCATTGAGCTACGAATCGATGATGCTATCTAGTTTCCAAAATATAACAAAAAAGTTGTTGTTAGATAGTAACAAGACCGCGGTTTGGACCGTTCCCTGTCAATACGTAATGTCATTGGAGTAAAAAACACGCAAAATAAATAAATTACTGTATTATCTTGAGATTACCACATGGGTAAAATCCTTTAGTGTCTGGCTAGATATGAACCCGTGACCTTAAATGCTGATTCCCCTTGCCCTACCAGACCAACTCGGCACGTTTTCAAACCTTCGATTCCACTGTTGTTTACCAAAAGGACAACTTTTAGGGATTTTGTACCTCAGTACCTTTTGAAAGTTACAATTACAAACGTATTCGATTATCGAAATACGATAGTCTTTAATACGAGTATTAATTTTTTCAGTCGGAAACATTTTGTATTAATGTCAACCAAAAGGACGATTTGAACTCATTCGGATCAAAGGGTTATTGAGCGAACCTTTCCGCATTCATTGACTGACATCAAAATGTTTCCATTTAATATTGCCGCATCGTTATAACGCACAAATATAACAAGGTATTGGGGAAACTCGTAACAACCGTCTGGCAAAGAGCAAGGCTTCCGTTGAGTTTGTTTTTATTAACAGTTATGTAGTATTTTAACATATTCCACTCATACTACAGCAACAACTACTGTTTTCGTTACATGCGTTGAGAGTCTATTAGGAATTATATAAAGTAATCTAGTCTAGTACATTAATTGTATATACTCATATATGTGGTAAGATAGAATCAAGGCTTGTATCAGTACCTTTTTACTTGTAAATGATCGAATGTATCGAGAATAGTTATCGATTGTAGTTCATTGTTGCATTGTTAACAGCTGAAAGTAATTTGTCTAACTGAAACTGACAAGATGAATGATGTGGGAAATAAGATGATCATTAAAGTGTTGAATAAATCGGTAAAAACTGTCCGTTTATTTCATGCAATGGCGCAATAAAGGTACAGTATTATGGAAAACATTTCATTACACTGGTCAAAAGTTTCTTTCGCCACTCGTTAACTTTTCTTGCACCAGCATCAGTTGTTAAGCCTAAACTGGTGGTGAAAAGAGACACTGTAGCACCTAGTGAAGAAATATATAATTTGTAATTTAAAGATTTTAAAAATATGTGTCACATTATATTTATGCTTTATGTCATAATTTATTTTCCATCTTGGGTGTAGTCACTATATACATCTGACACACTTTCCATCAAGTAGATTAAAACACACCGCTGCATTAGGTTCGCTGTATTAAGTGTAGATGTTTCGAATTCAAGTTTAAATTTGTAAACACTAGAGTGTAGTTTTAAATGTACCGTATTTTATATTTAGTTTTAAGTCTTTTATTTTTTTAACACATGGTTTAATGCGATTCAAGATATGAGTTGCAAACTTAATAAAAGTGTGCTAAAACAATTTTATTTTTCATAAATTACCTACGTACAACATGAACATTCACAAGAGCAAAATATATTTTTTTAGGTGTTTTAGAGATTTAGCTAACTTTACTACAGAAGTTTTCTAGACCCTAGCAACACAGATCTTAGGACACTACCAGTCACGTTTTGCAACCCTAACTTTAATCATCAAGTTTGCAAACTTGCAACACGAGGGACGGGTCCAGCTTCCCCTAGGGTCAAAACTAGCAGACATACTCTGGTGGGGTGTTGTATTTGTTACTACTGTAAACATCAAATTAATAGTCATTCGTAGTTCTGTAACCATTGCATATGATGCAACATAGGTGAAACATTCTATCTTCTACATTTACCGTTTTACATATATTTATTTATCTACAAATTTTAATCGCTGATTAACCACGCACATCTTACTGTAAATAAGCCCACTTAATCCTTGCTAAACTTACAAACAAGACCATTCAATAACTACTTTATCACCTATCAGGGAAGCCTCAATATCTTTGTTTAGTTCAAAACTTGCTTAATTAACGTTAACGTAGATAACAAAACAAAACGCTAGACCTAAACAATGAGGCGTGAACGGTAAAACTAATTACCTAAGTTTTCTGACTTAATAATTTCCACCAATTACCAAGAGGCAAAATGGAAATTACGAGCTCCGGGTGAATCTGGCGGCAACAAAGTTAGGGGTTGGAAAATGGAGGGAAAGTTTTATGCGGGTGTTGAGATACTATTATAGCATGTGGTATTTTCGTATAGTATCCTATCATCAACTGTTATAAAATATTGTAATTTGAATATACCTAATTTACCTTATAAACTTTATTTGCAAATACTTGTACAACGCATATCTACCGTATTTTGGCTCCAGAAATTTAATAATTTAATGTTTTTTTTTTATTTAAACATGGTTTACTTTTAACTTTTCCTACTTAATGATTGTTGCAATAACGTTTGTTATATAATTTCGTACCTCCGTGTGTCATGTTGTAGTACATAAGATATTCCTGGCACAGTATTGATTTTAGTGCTAATGGTATACTGCAAAAAGTACTTTTGTATTATAGCGACCACATATAAATTGAAATATTATTCCAGGATCACTGACAAGTACTACAGGTATTTAACCTTTTCATTACATATAAATTGGTAAAATAAAACCCTTAGGGTTAGATTAGGAAAATTTTGTTCTTTAAAACTAATTAAAATCTTATTTGGAAGTCGATTTGTCGGTGTGGTTATGGATTGGTATAATGCAAAAGTGCCAAATACAACACAGGTTTGATATACAGTATCAGCCTTTGGGATCTCAGTGAGATTAAACCATCAAAAAAACATAGCTCGCGAATCTATCAATATTTATTATAGAAATTACAACAGCTTGGCCTCACCAAGTTTAAGAAAACTTGTAGGCGAGGTTCAATAATTGATGCATAACAAATAAAAGGTTTACACTTTTCTTTCTTATTTTCTAGAACAAAGATTCCTGAAGCGGTTATTTCTAAAGCGGTTCGTGGCAGGCACTTTAACTTCAAACAAAGTAATTGGCAGCACCCTAAAAAAATCTAAATGTAATAATGACATAAGTAATTGCTTTTTAATCTACGGAATACTATGTGTATTGCTTATAATATTTGGCCCTCTTTGTTTTTCATGGTTCATAACCATGTTTAAAGTGTTTGTTTGCACAGCAGACTAGCAGTGCCAAGATGAGTTGATTTAGAAAAAAATGAAAACCCGAAGCTGAAGTCGTTTGAACTTAACCTCTCACTGTGAAACACACATGCATTCTCACAAAGCAGAGAGAATTAATATTAATATTAATAATAATAATAATAATAATAATAATAATAACAATAATAATAATAATAAAAATAATAATTAATGCGTCAAAACTTGCATTTCTTTCCTATAAAATATTTATAGGAAAGACTGTATAATATGCAATTTGCAATTTTGCTTTGGATTCCCTTGTAAAAAAGATAATTATATCAATAGGTGGGATTTGTGAACCAGGTCTTCTACAAGACAAGACCTAACCTTTAACCACTTTGTGAACCATTCTAAGCCGTGACCCTCTACATGAATTTACATTGTATAGAACATCAAACAGTACATTTGAATACATATTCGGGCATTTCGCCTACGTTATTCCTCGACCCTAACGGGATTATTTCCAACTGGTTGAATATACGCAATGATCTCTTGCATGACTTAGGATCAGAACAAAATGGCTGAATCGTTTAACAAAGTTGTATGTCACAAACATCATCTTTGGGTTTTGCTTATTCACACAGATAGGGTATATTACAATTAACACCTCTACCATGAGGTAGATTCTAGTGAGTCTCCTGTAAATGGTGGCTAATTTGGTTAAGAAACCACAGAACACATCTTATGGGATGCCGAAAGATATACCGAAACTAAGTAAAAACTATAACAGTAAAATAGGATAATCTTATTTGGCCAAATGTTGTTTTTACAATAGA